TTAAACTGATTTATACAAACTTTTTCCTGATGTCATATCGAGTCTTTTTAATGTTTTAAGCAAGTTCATTGTGACACCCCGAGTCATGGAAGAAAGTGGTTTAGGAGCGAAAACCTAGTTATTATCCCAAAAACCTAAAAATAATTTGTATAAACTTTCTTAATATCGTTATAAGGAAATAACGATATTAAGTAACGTAACGTACTCTACGTAATGAAACACTAATATTTTCTAGATGAACCGTAATTCTTTCCGGTACTCTATTTAAAACCACTATTGGCATAGGATACTCATCACATGTTTCGATTTAAAAAAAAATATATATATCGCTATTCATTATTATCCTATATATATTTATTTATCTTTCTCTGCAGTATATGTGGTAGACTCAGAAACTCCAGTTCATGTACTAGGGCATATGTACGAATAACGTGCTCCTTGTCACCCGCCGGTACAATAATGTTAAGCATTGAATTTCCGAATTCCAAGGGACGAAAAAGTATAGATGTTTTTTATGAAGTATGTTGCATAGATATGCAAGGCTCAACGAGATTTGAAGATATCTTAGCCTTTTAGTGCGAAAGGAAAAGGGGCTCTGATAATCGATCCTACAATTCAATTAGAAACAAACGATGAGAATCAAGATCTTAAAATACAAACAGAAAAAAAGGAGATCTATAAAAAATGCATTCCTTGCCTGCAAGAGAAATATAGGGAGGAATTTGGTTAATGAGAATACTCGGTTCGGGAGTAGAGGATCGATTCCACCTTCAACTGCTGTGTTTTTGGAGAAGCTGGGTATGGAAAGGAACCATCTGCAGAGTATAGCGGAGTTAATTGTTTTTGACTCGTTGGGAATCACATATATTAATTCTAGGTAGTTCGTTGTGATCAATAGGGACCACTAGCAAATCCAGGATTTAATTTTGTGTGGGGCTTCAGCCCGAAAGATTTTTTTTTCGTATACATATAACGATAATTAATATGAAAAAAAAAGAAAGAAATTAACTACCTATATGAAATGGTGTTTAAGTGGTTCTTGAAGTCCTATTAAATGTAATTACGCGAACAAGAATACTTTTAAGAGTTAGTTTATCATATTTTTTTCTGTAAAACATGGTTATATTTTACCATTTTGGGGGGAGGCTTCAGCCCGAAAGACCCTCCCTCCCTCCGTAGATCCGCCTGTGATAGGGACAGTCGTGAGAAGGAAGAAAATTAGTGTAACAATAAGGAAATAAATGATAACATTCGGTACTTTGAATGATAGTCCTGCAAAACTCTATAATAGATAGAGTTTTCTCTCATTAAACATTGTCGATTGGGACTGATTGGTACGCTGGATGTTGTAGAAACTCACCATAGTGGAGCATCTGTACAGTTTTATTATACTTTTCTCTTGAAATACTACAATTCTATTGAAAAAGTGAACCAAATGTTATAGAAATACATCCAAATGGAAATAAATATTTTTTTTCTGTTTTCGGACATTCCTGAAATCGGTCCAAAAAATATAGGACGAAACAACTCGCCCTCGAAGGCATACTTCACAACATTTCTTGAGAAAATTTGTCTAATTTGACAAAAAAATAATTTGTCCTTAATTATGACAGATTGTAATATCACTCAATAAACATGTTTAAAAAAAAAATAATAAAAAAATAATCGGTATCATTGAGAAGAAAATATTTTTTTTTTAAATTTTAATAAGCAAGAGAATTTACTGACATCAATATTTTTTATTAATGATAAAAAATAATGATTAGGTATAACAACGTAATTTTAGAATATAAAGATTGTAATATTTTTAAATGGTTTCATTTTGGTAAAAGTTTTACACAAAGCCTTAAATTTGATTTTTTTTAAATAATTAATTTTTTAGTTAAATTAGGTCGAATACTACAATTTGAGAAACTAATATAACATTATTTATAGCTTTCGACTCGCGTAACGACTTCTAATTGTATTAAAGAGAACCTAGAACTTCGATGGGGAGGTGTAGATGATTACATCAGGTTTAGGAAAAGATAGTGTTCTTTTTAATTTTTGATAATAGCTGCATATGTTTACATCGCAATATGATTAGATTTAAGCTATAAATTCAAACTATACATTCGTTAGAAAAAAAAAAAATTCAAAATGTAGATATTTCATTCCAATTATTTTAAAAATAATTCTGGAGCTTTTTTTTTTTTAATGTCAGTAATAAGATAAAACTTTCTCGAAACATCTGATTCTTGTACAAGCCAATTTCAGATTTTTTTAGTAAATCATTTCAGATTATTATAAATTTAACATACATATAGTTACTAATTTAACAAATTTAAATAAAGATCTAAATATTATTTTACGAAATAAACCATGACCCGTGGTTTCTTATAAATAATTACTTGTTTCTCCAATCATAATAAATTTAAATTATTTTCTACTATAACATTGTACATTTATTTTAATTTTTAAAAATAATATAATAACAATAAAGAAAGATAATTTTCCCCTCCAAATTCTATAAAAAATGTATCATTCTAAAATTTAATTTGTAGTTTACTGTTTTCTCCAAATCTGTTTTCTCCTATGACCTATAAATTACAATTTATTACCATTTTTACTGTTGTTTACGATTGCAAAACATGGCCCATTCCAAAGAAAGAAAGAACAACTTTTTAATTTCTATGAATAAATTATTACATGAAATGTTGGCCTAAAGTTTTATGTTTTATATGTAATATTTAGAAGGCTGCCCAATTTGGAATTTATTATCACTTCTATATCCCAAATAATAAAACATGGATTTCTTTTGAAAAAAATATTGATGTTAATATCACGTGCTCGCGCATATATTCTTTATTTACAATGTGTACTTTTTGCAAATAATATCCATTTTATAACTGTTATTTTATTTTTAACTTTTCAGATTTCTTCTATATAAAAATCAATTCTTATGTTTTCAGAGGTGTGTTTTTTGAAAGTAATATACACTTCCTTTGATATATTTATTTGAAGTTCTCGAATTACTCAGCTACTTTGTAGCTAGGGTGAGAAAGTCGAAATACACTCCGAGTAGTCTTGTCCCAATGCGAGTATTGGTCTTGCGCACTCAGTCTTGGTCTTGGTCTTGCGCAAGAGTCTCGCAACAATCTCTTACTATGTCTCTATTGTAATAAGTTAATATGCAGCATTAACTTATTACTATAGAGATATTACTTTAATTTTTCTGATAGGAGAAACCTAACTAAGCCAAGAAGAATTAGAAGTGTTAAATACAAAAGTATATTGGTTATACCAATTCTTTACACATAGTAACTAAAATTGTCAAGTATTATTAACTATTTTGCCTTAATTTTTATTCAAAAAATCGATTTTTTTTACCAGTCTTGGTGTTGGTTTTGCAACAGTTAGGCAGTCTTTGTCTTGGTCTTGAGAGTGCAAAACCAAGACCTATTTTGGGCAACACTAACTCCGAGGGTCCACCATGTAACGCGGCCGAGGCGGAATCGAATCGGTGCCGGCTACGGGTTGCTATGCCATGGTTACTTCTTTAAAAGAGAAATTTAAAAGTATACACTTCATGTCATGAAAATGGTCCTCAACATCGATATTATAAAAATAAATGTTATGACTAAGCCTAACCTATACCTAAAGTACGCGAACTTATTATCGATATTACTTTATGAAAATATGATGATAATATAATAATGAAATATTGCAGAAATTCGAAAAATTTTAAGAACGCACAGTTTCAAAATCGATAATATTTTCGAAAAGTACGGTTTCGATAATCTAATAATGGAACTTAATATTGAAAATGAAATGTTTAAATAAATCGTTAAATAAGAACGTGATCTTAATAGAGACATTATTTTCAAACACATTGACTGATCAATGTACAGAAGAAAATTGAAAATATAAAATTAATCGATGTGCCATCGGGTAATCTTAATATAAAATTTTATTGTAAAAATTACGCCTCCGAAACATAAGAATAGATCTTTACATCGAAGAAACCCGAAAAATTTAAATAAATTTAGGAGCAATAGCACAATTTTAAAATGGATATCAATTTCAAAAACTACGCATCGTAAAACCTAATAATGAACCATCGTTCGAAGAAGTCAGAAAATTTTAGGTAAATCTGCATGTTTGTAGGTAGAAAGATAGTTTAAAGAGGAGAGCTCAGTCATTTTATTACTGATGATCTTGACGATTATAATTTCCTTTTGATTCTTATATTTTTTTTTTATTAATCACATTTGTATATTTTAACGTTTCAGGAAATACATTTTTTTTAAGTTACTGTTTTTTTTACTGTAGAATTAGGAACATTAAGTAATTTTATTATTCTTCTCAATCGCCAACAGCAGTAAAGAGACTAAAGTACCTACTCAAAGATGGGTAGGCCAGTATTTGAGTAAAATACTCAATACTCCTTACTTGGAGTAGCATATGTCCTTCTCTGATAGTGATTACAATACGAAACTCAAGCGTAAAAATAAACCGTTATTGACACAAAATTAAAAATATTAGTATTACTACTGTTATTTATCATTTAATAATTCATAATAAAACACATTTTCTTTAAAATAGATGTAGAAGAGTCTTTAATTGGGGCTATAGCACTGATAACAGAGAACCACTGAATTATTTTCGAATGGCTAATACAATAAATGATTGGTACGGTACTGGTTCCTTAAAATTTCTGTCGCTGAATTATGTCGATTATTTTGCAATAATGGGGGAATTGGTATAATAGGGTGTTTAATATTGAATTTCGGTAGCCGCAATTTTTTTTAATGATATATATATATGATATTTAATTTTAATGAATGATATTAAATAAAGTAACGATGCGAGTCACATGAAACACACATGTCACACACAGTAACATGAAATAAATATATCATATTTATAATTTGTGTTTTTTTATTGTCTATAAATATTTAATTGCACGTGTAAACTTGTGTCGACAGTCAACAAATGTGCTGAAATAAGAGAAAAATGACATGGCAGTTATGGGAAAGGACAGTAGCACCTCTTCCTTGACTGACCCTCAATTACATTGGTTGTTTAAGAAAGCAGATCTCTCCTCCAACGCCTTTTTAGTCTCTTCTTCATATTCAGGGGTATGTAAGCTGTTGCCATATCTCTTAGTAATCTATTGTAAAGCCCGTTTAAATTTCTATAAAATCGTTATGTGTTGCCCAAATGCGAGACCGAGAGGAGTCTTGGTCTTGCAAACTCAGTCTTGGTCATGGTCTCAGTCTTGCGTAAGAGTCTTGTAGTTAGTTGCAGTTACTTATTAGCTTATTACTATGGAGATGTTACTGTAATTTTTTAGATAGGAAAAACCTAACTTAGCCCGAATGAAAAATTAGAGGAGTTAAATGCAAAAGTATATTGGTCATACCAATTATTTACATATAGTAACTAAGATTGTTAAATATTAGTAACTATTTTGCCTCTATTTTTATTTAAAAAATCGATTTATTTTACCAGTCCTGGTCTTGGTCTTTCAACAGTTAGACGGCCTTGGTCTTGGTCTTGCAAAGTGCAAGACCAAGACCGATTTTGGGCAACACTGGTTGGAAGGTGGAGATCAGTATGTAGAGTTTCGTTATTTACTTACCAAGGTGATTTTATTATGAGGCGCAATAATTTTGATTGTAAGGTTTGAAAAATTTGTAGGTGGGCCTTTTTAGCATTACCGTATATATGTGATGAATATCTCCATATGGCTTTATGTATATGTATTCAGTTTCTGTCTCAATTTCAGTTTTGATGACTATAAAATAAATGATTGAGTATTTTGCGTCGTTTATCGAATTTCATATGTTTCATTTTTACGTGCGGGACCCGTGTTATCCTTCTGTCGGAGGTGAGACCAAGACAAAGTACCGTATCCGTTTGTGGTATTTAATTTTAAAATTGTAACTTAAAATAATTTATATTTTTATTTGACTAAAAAATTAATTCTCAAATTCAATTCCTGCTATTCTGTTAATTAATTAATATATTTTTTAATTTAACACCTCTATGGGTGCATCTCTGTATTAACGAACCTTCATTCAGCGATTACTGCCAACGATTTAATTAAGATTTTTAACTAGGATAAGTATTTAAAAATATATAAATTTCAATTGATTTTCTAAAAAAATAGTTTATAATAATGTTATAGAGTATTTTAATAGAGATTTAACTAAAATTCCTACTTCTCATCACCGCACTTCATTGCCGTACCGACTAAGTACCGCTCTTTTCTATAATACGGTAAAGATTTTTTACTAAAGATTATTTTAATGATTTCGTATCGGTTTCGAGTTTAAATATACACTTTGTAGTAGAAAAACTCAATATCTTCCGTTAAAACAAAAATATTTTTGAAAAAAATTAAGTGCCTGATTAATTATATATATATTTTTAATTGAACACCTATTATGGATATTCTTGTATTAATAATCTTGTCCAATTATGAATACCAAGAATATAGTTAAAGTTTTGAACCAAATTATGATTATTATAACTCATATAAGTTATTAAAAATAATATTTCATAGAGTTTATAATTTTGTAAAATAATATTTTTAAATATTTTTTAAGAATAGTATGGTATGAATATATCATTTTCAAAACGGATTTTCAAAACGGTGCCATTGCCAAAATCCCCCATCCTCGCCAATTCTTAAACATCCAATTATCATCCGTTCTTCCGGTTGATAGTTCGTAAGTTAATCGCTTTCTTGGAACGTTTCTTCATGGTATGATTTCCTATATGAATTAAAGTATTCCATTGTAAATATATTTTCAGTTTTGGGCTGAACAGTGTTACACTGCTAATTTACAATATAATATTTTAGCTATAATTGGCTTTTTCTGTATATATGTTTACATAAGTAGTCTTTTTGTATGTGTATATCTTTTCACTTTGTACCTTTGCAGGACTGCTTATGTATTTTTAGAGTTTTTTTACCTCTAATCGAGATGACTAAAGAGATAGTCAAAAGTGACTGTGCTAACATCGCGAAGCGCAAGAAAAGAATAACTATAGACTCAGTTTGATAATCGGCAGACTTGACCGGTAGAACTATTATGTTAGGAACAGCAGTAAGTGTTAAATAATTATTTAAATTTTAAAAGTTTGTTTAATTAATATTTATAAATGAGAAATATTAATTTCTGGCAAGAAGTATTTTTTTTTTCATAAAAAAAAATATAATGATTAGCATCAACAAATTGACAGCTTTAAGGTTTTATAAAAAAGAATTAAGTACAAAGCAGGGCTTAAATTCGATTTGGTATAAATCTTGATGGGTAATTCAAACACAAATTTGAGTAAGTTCTTATTTATACAAAATTAATTTTATTTATCTTTAATATATTAATAGCATATATTGATATAGAGAAAACCTAAGTAGGTGGATATAATATAAGTGATCGACCAAGTACTGGGTGAAACAAAAAAATTCTTTATTTCAGTTATAAGATGTGTCTCATTGCAAGTTTGAAGTTTAAGCTTGTAAATGCAACAAAAAAAAAAAAAAAAAAAAATCTAAATTTCGTGATACTATTTAAAAACAATATTCAGCTTTCTTATCAATGTTAAGTGATAATAGTTGATATAGTATGTGACTATTTAAATATTCAAATAAATATAGTATGCAATAAAAAAAATAAAAATAAAATTTATAAATTATTAGATTTTCTTTTTCTTTTTTCTAGATACATTCCTAGAGCACCTAGTTGGGAATTTAATAAATACATGCAGTGCAGTGGAATAGAACAGAGATAAGTTAATAAATGTTTATTATTAAAATCAGGCAAATAAAATAAAATTTTGGTTATATTCATGCTTGTAGAAAAAAAAAGTATTTTTATTGCGATTTTGAAAAATTCAACTTACTTGACTGGATTCACGACTCCATGTTTATAACCAAAAATTTCACAATTTTTTTTTTCTTAAAACACTGTTATATCGAGGGTACTCGGTTCAAAAGCGGACAAAAAAAATTAGAACTCAAAATTTTTTTTTTCCCAACTGACACTAACTAATACTCCAAAAAAGTTTAAATATACTAAATAAGTATAATTTTAATAAAAAAATAATGGAGAAGCGAGAGAGTGCTATATATAAGAGAGGACTTGGGTGTACGTGCCTGTAGGGTACGGGACCTGGGGTTCTCCTGTCGGCTCTGGGAGGGTACTACGGGGGGCCTAGACGCGTGCCGCTCCCGTGGTGGTGGGGGGAGTCTATAGTCGTTCCACGCGATCCAATATCTCAACCACACCGTGCTTTCCCTCTCTCCTCCTCCTGTCTGCGATAAAGCGTCCATCTTGAATTCCAGAACTACGCCACTATGCATGCCAACAATTTGGAATTATGATATTGAAATAATTTATCTGTCATATCGGAACAAATCCCCATATCTTTAATAAAGTAAGTAAAGATGGCGGAATTAGTTCGATGTGAATACATCTTTAAGATGATGCTTGGGATGTGATCAGAAATTAATATAGAATAATGAAAAATACTCTTTAATGTATACCGACTTTCGGTCAATTGGGAATTTATGCGGTAATATGAAAAAAAAAAAAAAATAGTATACATAAATAAACAGTGTCTCACCACTACACTGAGTTAAAGTGGCTCTTCCCCTCCATTCGAAGACAATATTTCCTAGGTACGTTCCTCTATCAAATCATCAACAATCATCGTCCTTCTTACGCCTACAACCTTTTCCCATTCAAGTCCTTAGTCCACTCCCTTTTCACAGGATCTCGACCTTCCGACCTTTACATTCCTTCTCACAGATCTGCCTCGTTCCAAAACTCGATTGTTGCTCGCTCTGTTAATTTCAACCTCCCTATTTACATTTAAAACTCCCCTATTCCAATTGCTATCCAAAAAACAGTGAGACACCCCCCGCTGACCTTTTATGTAAATTTATATATTATTCGAAATGATTCACATAATGGTATATTTACATATAATTCATGACTTAAATACTTACAATCACATTCGTCTTCTTTTTATTTCTTTTCTTCTTCAGAAACACAGAGTTTATTGCTATGAAGAATGTAATGCGTTTTTTATTTATTTTTTTAAAAGTGTATACTTATGTTTTACCACTGTCCATAGTTTTAAGTGTCTCGGCATAGTTTCAAGTATTTTGAATATATATTTTTTTTATTTTGTACATTATATGTTTAACTAATATTTTCCTTACTTTTTTTCTTTATTTTCACTTTTTTTGTTTGTTTTTACTTAGGCCAGATATAATACTTTAATGTTGTACTTTTTTGTTATTCTAAAGGGACTTCGTCCCAGAATAAAATTATTTTTCTATTCTATTATAAAAATATCGATGGTGTCCATACCTAAATCATTTTATAATTTTTAATTCGCTTCGACTTAACACACTTCCTGTTCCGACATATAAAAATTTGTATTTATAAAACTATTATCTTAAATAAGGTTCTTTATTGATGCGGAACGTGACCGTTTACTCCAAGAGATAAGCAACTACTTAATGTTTTTGAAATTTAAGTATTGTGTAGAATATTCGGACCGATGGATTACTTGTCAACGGCGAATTGCGTGATCTACACTAAGTAATTGAGGTAATTACATTGTGGCGAATTAAACGGGCATGTTAACTTGTTGAGCTTAGCAACGAATGGATTCACAAAAAGCTAATATGTGCTCTACCGACTGATAAGCGTCCAAGGGATCGACCGAAGTGAAGGTTGGAGGATTTCGTTAATTTGGTAGGGTTGGGTGTGGACGGCGCCACGCGGCGCACACTGGACGAGCGTAAGGTTTCTTGGACTATAACTTCCTGTGATATTTAATGAGTTCCTAAACTATATGAATCAATCGGAATCGATTAACAGATTATTAAATATGTCTCTCCTATTATCAATCATTGACTAGATAGATCTATAGGAACTAGAAAAGTTCAATCTGTCAACTGATATACTAACTCAAATTTTTCTTTGAATATCAAAAGTTAAATATTGTATTAATTCAAATGTTACTAATATCTTGAAACGTGATAAGCAGTTCTATTTTCATTTTATTTTTAAACCAAATATTCTATGAACAACATATTTTTTGACATTATTGATCTAAATTATCAATTGCTGTTAATATCAGTTATTTTATGGTAGACAATAAGTGTTTCGTTCAAAATAATTATTTCATTCAATATGAATATTGCAAGTATAAGTAATTCACGTAAAAAAAAAAATATTCGCGGTAGGTACCAATACATTGTTCAAAATTCACAGTAACATTACATTGTTCAGATGTTGTATAATTTATTATCTATTTCGTAATGACATATTATAATTAAATATAAATATATAAAGTTATATAATAATATGTAATAAGAAAAATTTTTTTTCATTTTTTAATACTTAGCTATTAAACTCGTGATATGTTTATAATTTAGGCGATATAAAAAAATTAGATGTTATTTATTCGAAAATTGGGTCGATAGTAACTCGAATACGCAGGTAAAAAAAAATTAAATAAATAAAATGTAATGGTGGTCAGTCTAAATACAACTTTCCTGCGTGTTAAATCTTCAATAACTTCCCGGATGGCCAGTTGGGACAAGGTCTGAAAAATGATTTTAGAAGCTCAAACCTTTGTTAACAATAGGGTCTATCTAGATTTCGGGCGATTTGCGAAATGGACCAAAATTTCTTGCAATTGTTTGAAACAACTATGTTTGTTTATAAAAACCGATGTTTCAGCTATCTTAGAATTCACTAGAAGTACCTAATTCTGCCCAGCACATAGCTGTTCAAACCTAGCAAAACTAGTTAGGTTTGAACAATAAACACCGGCAAACCAGCTCTAAAGAGAAATACTTTATTTAAAGCAGTACTGCCCTATTATATTTGTTCGATACACAGCATACTCATCAGTAACACAGCATAATGCTTTTTTTTTGGATATAGAACTTAATTATAATTAATCATATGTTTATATATATATATATATATGTATAAATTCTTTTTCATATTAAACAGCATAAACAATTTCAATACTATAATATACTAATACACACAATTACAATTATTCAATATATACATATTTCGGTGAAACCGATACAAGACAATTTCTGAAATTTATAGGGCAAAAAAAAAAAAATATATATATGGTATTCGAATACTAAAGTTTTAAAACCAGAAAATTAGAACGCACACACAGCAAGTAAAATAGTCCTATGAATATAGGCAAAAAGATATAAAAAAGATGGTTTTCATTTCTTCTCCTATTATTTCACACCATGGCATTATCAATGCGATAATTAAGTTAAAAATTGCTGTTCTTGAACGGGAAAAGATAAGTTTGTCACGAATGAATTCAAACTTCCAAATTTTAACTTTTGTTTTTTCTTCCAATGTGCAACAGTGGCGTTAGCTCGCGGTGTGCGGCGGCTGTAAGAGGGAAATATGTTGACATCGATTGGTAGTATCGGCATCGAATCTGTCTGTTCGCTAAGCCTTTTATAATTATTATTTTTTATCTTAGTACAAAGCATTGCATAAAGAAACTATTGCTTATGAACTCATTTCACCAAAATATAATTTTTCCTTTTTGGCTCTTCTGCCCTTCTTTCGCCCTTGATACAAGTTATTAAAATCAATAATATAAACATGAAATACTAAATACTATTTATGAATGGTAAAGGTTTAACTAACGGAAGAAAGTTTTGAAAAAATAAAGAAGAAAAAGGTAAAATGTTAGGAATACGCAAAATATACAATATAAAACGAAAGGTACAAGTGCAACTGCAATGTGTAAAGTGCAGGATCAAGAAAGATCCAACACTAATCCTGAATATGTCTGGCTCATCTTCCTATAATTGGGATTTCAATTTATTTTTTAGCCTGATGGAGTCAGAATAGAGCCCAGCAGCACCTCTTCCCTAGTCTGTTTACATCCTAAAATGAGATCTCTCATCCAGCTCCTTTTCAGTCGCCTCTTGATGAGCATTTCAGCCGTGGCCGTGTCGTTAATAAGTCTACTGTGATGTCCGTGTAGTTTAAGATGAAATCGGGAGTAGAGCGTAGGTATGTGCTGGTCAATGGTTGGTTGTCTTAGGTCGGTATGTAAAGTCTTGTTGTTGACGTACCACGAAGCTGCAGTTATTAGTCTTAAAATTATAGACTGGAAAGATTGTAGTTTTTGTAAGTTAGTCTTTTTTGCTGAACCGTAAATCTGTGAGGCGTATGTCCAAATGGGTTTGAGCAGGTAAGTGTATGTATTTAGTTTTTGTCTAATTTTCAATTTTGATTTAGAAAACAGTGAGTGTAGTATTTTCAGTCGCTTGTTCAAAGTCTTTTGTTTTCATTTTGACATGTGGACCCCAGGTCATCCTTCTGTCAAATATTAGTCCGAGGTAGTGTATAGTGTCCGTCTGAGGAATTGGATTGTTGGTGATATAAACTGGTGGGCATGTTTCTTGTCGTAAATGTTATGTGTTGTGATTTGTTATGATTTAATCTAATTTTCCAGAGTGAATACCAATTTTGTAAATTTAGTAAGTGATTTTTTAAATTTAATGAGGCTAGTCTGGGGTCATGGTGTTTTGTTAAAATTATTGTATCGTCAGCGTAAGTAGCAGTCAATGTTTCAGAGGTGGAATTTTATTTTTAATATCTAGTTTTTATAATGAAATATCCAATTTATCGGAATTGTAATTTGCTTTTAAGATTAAAGTAAATAGCGTTCTCTTTTATGTGGGCAAAATCATTAGTGAAATCAAGGAATAATTGACGTTTAAGAATTCTTTATTTTAACTTACTTATTCACCTATATTAACTGGCTTAGGAATTTTCAAGTAATTAGTTTTGGTCTGTGTGCACTGGTTTTTCGAACCAAGGAAAAGTCTGTTAATCGAAAACCCATTGATTTTATCGTAATAAATGCCATTCAACTAATATTATAATTATATATATATATATATATATATATATATATATATATATATATATATATATATATATATTGAATATTTAAGTTAATAGTGATTTGAGCAGTGAAGATTTAATCATTTTAACATTTATTTGTACTGCCTATCTATTTTCTTATATACGTATACATCAAACGTTATCTTTGATTTACCATACGATAATGCTGTGATATTAATATATTTTTTAAAAATAATATCTAATTATTGTTAATGAAGGTACGACATGTCAGAAGATAATATATCAAAAAAGATGGAAAGGTCTATCTATACTTACTGTCCATGTATAAAGGTCTACGGTTTGTGATTTATTTACAAAATCTATTTGGCTGTTTTTGAAGCACAGTATTGTCAAAGAAAAACGACCTAATCTGATA